TTACTTCTTTCTCACATACACACTTTCCTCTCTATAGATTGTTTACAAATTATGCTTCACGTTGTACCTATTTAAAAGAAAATATATATTAATCTTATGATAACTCAATGCCCTTAAAACTTATCCCTTTTAAAATATCTCTCTTAAAATATAATATAATATCGCAACTTTGTACTTTGAATTTTTGTATATTTTTTTTATGATATATATGAATATGAATTAAATGAACATATTTACACATATAAAGCTTCGATCAACAAACTCGTATGTCACCATATTCTGAATACTTTATAATGTGTATTGATAAGTTAGGTTAGAAGTCTTAAGAAACTGCGTATAATACAAACGTAAACGATTGACAGAAAAAACTTTTAAATCTTAATATTTTATAATTAATTTTACCTTTAATTCATACACAGACTTCCTCGAAGCACATTAAACTGGCGGGTTTGAAGCTTATTTATGACGTCATTGAGCATTGGTCGATAAAAATTCAACATTTACCACAAACTACACCGACGCATCGTATGTTGCGTTACTGACTGTCGATTCTCTTAATGATTGAGCTTCTCATATAAACGCAGATGTCACTGTCCAACGATGAACTGCCAAATGTGAGCGTAAGAATATATAAGTAGAGCATTTTCATTACGAATTTTACTATGAGTATACGATAAGTAGAGAACGTACGATATTAATTTTAATCATACAGATTTTCAGAATTTTTCGCGATCAGAACAATTCGAATTCCTTTTATACTTTAACATTCTGGGAAACGACTTATTCTGTATTAAATTTTATATAACGTTAACAAATGTTTCGAATGTGACAGACAGCGTAACGATCCTTAAGGTTAAGTGATATTACGCTTTTTTATATTGTGATTTTTTTTTTTTAAACATTAAATTATTTAGAACAATGCCAGCATCAAATTCTATCAGCGTAGCTGTAATATGTTCTAGCAATATGAATAGAAGTATGGAAGCCCATGCCTTCTTAAGGTAATTGATTCAAATAATAATCAAATTATAAATTATTTAATTAAGTAAAAGTATTAATCAAATTAAATTTTTATTTTTCTTTTTCAGTAAAAAAGGCTTCAATGTAAAATCTTTTGGAACTGGTGATAAAGTCAAGCTTCCTGGAAATGCACCTGATCGTCCTAACATATATGACTTTGGAACTTCTTATGATGAAATCTATAATGATCTTTTATCAAAAGACAAGCAATAGTATCCTTTCTTATTATTAAATAAATAAATTTTTTCTTTCTTTTTATTAGAACATGAACAAAATTATTGATTTTAAGATTTATATTTTTTTAATTTTTATTCTTTTACATTTTTTTTTTTTTTTTTAGAGATTACAATAAAGTTTATGAAATAATTGAAAGTAAAAACTTCCTTAATCATAATATTAGTTACACACAAAATGGATTATTGCACATGTTAGATAGAAATCGTAGAATAAAACCTAAACCAGAACGATTTCAATTATCCAAAGATAAATTTGATATTTTAATTACTTGTGAAGAACGTGTATATGACCAAGTAATTGAATGCATGGAATCTAGAACTCAAGAAGATAGTCAACCTGTACATTTGATTAATATTGACATTCAGGATAATCATGAAGAAGCTACAGTGGGATCATTCCTTATTTGTGAATTAGTCACTGTGGTAACTTCAAAATTCATTTAAAATTCTATATTTACGTGCTTCTATAATTTTTTGGCTAACAAAAATTTATTTTTCTAGCTGGCAAATAGTGAGGACTTAGATAATGACATAGATGAACTACTTCATGAATTTGAATCAAAATTTGCAAGAACAATTTTACATACAGTACTTTTTTATTGAAAAGCCTATTATATAACAAGAACTTGGTGTTCACAACTTAACTTATAAAAACAGATTAAATTATAAACTATAAATGTACCACCACATTCTCTGAATCAGATAATGTGGAGCGAGTTCCGTTTTAGCAACAAGTAGGAATTCGATCCGCGCTTCCTATTTAACGAATTATTGCTTTCCACGGAAATCGTTTTAGGGATCTACCATTACATTTATATTATATCTGTACTCCATGGCAAGATATACACAATGAGATTATTGAACTTATTCAGTAATCCAAGATGCTGGTATCAGAGGAATTAGGAGACATTAAAGAATAAAGAATATAAATTATGAAATATTTTAATTTTATAATATATACGCATATAAGTATAATAATAAACTATTCTTATATACGTATATATTTTACTGTTAGAATGTATTTGTGGTATGTAGAATTGATATGAGTCTCTGATGTGCTTATGAATACAGAGACTTGTATATTACAAAATATGATCCGCTGTTATATAGCGAAAAGGCCTTCAATTCTCACAATATAATATAAATATTCATAAAATCAATGTTGATCAAGATGAGCGTATAATCTTCTTGTTTTCTCACGTTTTTTTTTATTCGAATGTTTGTTAATCTTTTTCCATGGTTTTTCTTCAAGCAACAAACTCTGTGTAGAACCAGTTATTGATCCTATATCGCTGAAAAAATTACAATAATTATTAAAATATTCAAAATGATACGCTCCATTACTTATTATTATACATGAATTATTGTCAATAATTATACAAAAATGACTTTATCAAATAAATATAAAATAATGTTACGTACTTAGAACTAGATCGGCATAAACTATGCATTTTTCCAATCACTCCTTTTACATGAATATTAGAAATATTATTTTGAAAAAATACTTTATCTACATCTTCTGACGTAATTTTACTTCCTTTATTCGCGCGCACTGTTCTAGGCGGTAAATGTTTATTTTCAGAAATTATTTTTTTTCGTGAAGGGAATGTATGAAATTTTTTTTGTTCTATTGTTGGTGGTGCAACACAATATAACAATCTACCATTTACAAAATCTTTCAAAAGATATCGTGCGGAGCGTGGATTATCTGGTTGTCCATTTTGTGTCATGAAACCTCTACTATCTAATAAATAATAAAAATATAAAGGAAAATATAAAATATAAAGGAAAATATAAAAATAAATATAAATTATTACATATTCAAATAATAAACACATACATCCATAAGCATTTAAAATTTCTTCTGCAGTTGGAGAACGATCAGAATCTTCTCCTTCTAATGGTAGAGGTATCATAATTCCATAAAGATCTTCTATAATATGCCTTGGTATTAAAGTACCTAATAATGTAATTGAAGGTACATGATCTTTCATTTGATCAATTGGTAATATACCATGTATAATCATTTCAGCTTTTGTACAAACAAAAGAGGGCATTACTAATCCAGGACAATCACAAAGAAGTAGATCCTTATCCAAGAATAATGTTTGAAAATGTTTTGTTTTACCTGGTGTTGCAGATACTGATACTTTCTTGTCCATTAACAAGGCATTTATTGTAGAACTCTTACCTACATTTGGATAGCCAACTAAACCAATTGTTGTAATTCCTTTTGTATATGTTTCATCTTTATAAATTGTTTTAAAAAATAATACTAACTGATCTCTACTTAACAATTCTGATGAATTTTTTACCTCTATATTGTCTTCTATATTTTTTTTATCTATTTTCTTTTCTATTTTTAAATCATTTATATTGTTTTTATTGTCTTTACAATTTATTTTCTTCTCATTTTCAATATTGGTATTATTACTACCATCATCTGCACTTTCATATTCACTTTCTGAAGCAAATTCTGAAGTATATAATGATTTATCACTATCATCATTTTCTATGTCACTATTTTGTTCATTCTCAGAATAGTCTTCTTCTATTATATCTTTTATCTTTTCTTTCTCAACTGCTAATATGGCAGAAAAAAATGCAACTTTTAATTTAATATTTGTAAAATATTCTGCCCATATTTGTCTCTGTTCTTCTGTTAAAAAATCTGCTTTATTAATCAATATTATGTTCATCTTTTTAGAATCTACTTCTTTAACATACAATTCCAAATCTTCACAACGGAAAAGAAGTGGATTTCTCGCATCAACTATCTGTACAACAATATCACTGCGTTCTACTACTCTCCATAATTGTCTCCAAAATTCCAAATTCTTTTCATATGGAGTTAACATTAATCCCTCTGTTTCTTGTAACATAGAAAGAGAACGTCTCCATTCTAAAAATTCTTCTCTTTCTTTGCTTTGTAATTCATGAGCTGTAGTAGAACTATCCCATTTTGGCCTTCTTGGTATTTTCAGAAGTGTTTTATTTTTCTTTTGTGACTCCAATACTTTCTCTTTTTCATCTTTAGAAAGTAATCCGATTCCACTTTTTGGATTAACAAATTTGATGTTTAATTTCTCGGCATGAAACTCGGTTCCTGCTAACTCTGCAGTAGAAAGAAATTCTTGAAAAGAATTTTCTTCTGTGACGGATTGAAGATTAAGACGTCCCCAATCGTAACCATCATTTAATTCGGTGGTGTGAAGCTAATCGAAGATACAATTAGAATATTGAAAATTATTTATCATTTAATTCTTTTTCATGTTCAAAAAACGAACAGGTTATGAATGAAGGCATTACCTTACCATAGATGAATCAACATTTCTTTTATTTCTAAATGAACTAAGACGATCTCTAATCAAAGATTTTCCTAAATTGCCACTTCTTACTTTTCCTTTTTTACCCATTGTATTAAATATTATATTACTTTAAAAAAGCATGGCGTGAGAATGATTGTTACTAAAACACAACTATCAAATATCGGAAGTAACGTAACGGTATGAACAGAATGTCAAAAAAATAAATGTGATATATATTATAAATAAATAATAATTATGAATCATGTATTAAAAAAGTATTTTTAAATGCAATTTAATGCATAAAATATTTTACGGATAGAATTAAAATATATATATTTATACATCATACATTTGAACTATTTTTATGTATATAGTTAAGATAAATCTATATCTAATATCTATAAATTATTTCTGGGGCAGAGCTTTAATCGAATAATTCTGCATCGTACTTCATTTTTATTAATAATTGATAGGTAAACTGTTCTGGTTCACAATTTTTTGACGACCAGTAACAATTACGAAACGTTCAACATGCTCCACATGCTTCTCTACCCTATTCCCGCACGCTCAATCAATTCTCAAAATCGGAACAAGAAAATTTCTTTCGCAAGGCAGCTTGTGAACAGTTGTTTTTTTCTTTTTTTATCCTTTTTTTATCCTTTTTTTAATCGGAATAATATCGGTGAGTCATTGGTTATATCTTATATATTACAATTTCTGCGGCTTTATACGATTCACCACACTTGTACACTCGTGCAAGTATTACAAGTTGCGGGAAAGAGGTCGCACTTGCTTCCGGCACGAATTCATCTCTTGCATTATTTAGAAATCTAGTCATCTAGAATATGGATAATCAGTCGCTTTTTCTGGCAAAAGGACAATTCTCTTCAAATAAAGTCCTTTCGGAAAAAGAAAATATACTTTCATCCAAGCACGCTGTATTAACGCCCACTTCGAGTTTCTTTTTTAGCACAGAATACAAAATGGCTCGCAACGTGTCTGATATGGGTCGTTATTTTACACTGCAATGCTCTTACAGAATACCACCGTTCTACGCATAAAATTCATTATCGATAACTGTACAACCTATTACGGAACAACCGGATCATTCGTGCAGGGCGAACGGCAGTATGTCAACATACATATAACATGCAGACACTTTCATTCTGAATAATTTCAATAATTATCTCTTCCTCGAATGCCTCGTGGTTGATCACCGTCGCGTCCTCTACCGCGATTATTATACCCACTCCTTCCCATTCTTCCCATGTTATTGTCATTAGGTCCCCTATTCATGGGACCTCGATTAGGTCCAAGTTTATTTCCAAAATTACCAAAATTTGAATTAAAATTATTTGCTGGATTTTGTCCAGGATTCTGACCTCGAAAACCAGGACCGAATCCAGGTCGATCAAAATTGGGCGGACCAGAATTCGGTCCACGAAAATTTGGCAAACCTTGAAAATTGTTACCGAATGGTCCTTGATTCGGTCCAAATGGAGGTAATGGACTCGGCCTAAAGTGTTGATTAGGTCCAAAATTACCATTTGGTGGTCTAAAATTAGGACCAAAATTTCCAGGTGGGGGTCCATTAGGACCAAAACCAGGATGCATATTAGGATGATGCATCATGTGCATGGGACCATCAATTCCTTGCATACCAGGATGTAGTGGTTTATTCTGCATAGGATGCTGGGACATATTTGGATGTGGCACTAAACTTGGAATGGGAGGAGTCATATTAGGATTAATATTCTGCATATTATGATGACTCGATATATGAGATATACTGTTGCCTAAATGGGGCATATTGTTACTTATGCCTATACCTATGGGTATGTTATCGCGTTTATCGAAATTGTTTGAAAAACCACCATCCCCTTTCCTGGGCCCATCATTCATCGATTTTTCATCATCCCATCGCGAACTACTGTCTCTATCTCTGTCATCATAAATATCGTTGTCCAAAGGCTTCTTCAAAGAAAATCCATGAGAACTCCTAAAATCCTTATCTGCAAAGTTACTTCTTACATCATAATCAGAACGCGAACTAGGCCTTCCAGGTCCGCTGGATATGTTAAACCGTAAGTCCTCGTCGCGATTTGTATTTCTAGTGCTTTCACCATGAGGAAGTTTCCTGAGATCTTCATCCTGTCCACTATGAAAAGAATTGGTCTCGTTGGAGTGTTGATTTGACTTTGCTCCGGTATACCTTAAATCGGTATCACTAGATTGTGAGTCTTCTGTCATCACTCCGCCGAAAACCGGTTGATGAATCTTCGACGTTCGATCACTGGCTCCACCATCACTCCAACCGATCAGTTGATCAAACTTTCGTTTTCCACCACGATTCAAAGCTTTTAATAATTCGGGATTCTGTGCGAACTTGGAACTAGGTAAAGGTGGAGGAAGTTCAATATCGGGTACTTTAGAATAATCTATTTCGCCGTCGTCTTGCAAATATTCTTCGGAATCATCCATATTATCCGGTGGACCTACAACGTCCCGTAGTTCTTCTATTTCTCCGGAGAATACTAATTTATTTATGGCATCGTTTCCTTTACTAATTGCTTCTGCTAACTTAGAACCGGCTATAAAATTAATAAATAATTAATAATCTTAAAGTTCTATTTAAAATTATAATAATTGAATTTTTATATATTAAAACTTACGTTCAACGGGAATCATTTTTCCATATAATATAATACCATTTGGTGTCACTTCGTTTAGAGGTACTGCTCCTGGCGTAGTTTCAATTAATTGATTTACAAATGCATTTAAAGCTTCTACCTGCTCCATATCCTCTGCCTCCATTTCATTCCATTGAGCTTGAAAATTTCTTGGAATCGGTTTGCTATATGGAACTTTTTTATTAGCGAATTTCTTGCCTTCATCAACTGCATGATCCAAATCTAAACCAGGAATACCACCGCTTTTGTCTTCTGGTTCACCATCAGCATTGATTCTATCTTCTGGTCCCATACCAGGTATGACGGCTGCTTCATCGGCTATGAAATAATCAAAGCAATAACAAAATATCCAATTTCTTTAATTTTGTTTACAAGATTCTTTTTGTTATTCTCATAACATATAGTACCAATTTCGTGATCATCAACACCAGCCGATCCTGCAGGTAAAGTATTGAGATTATACTTGTCTCTCATTAAATCTCCAGGTCTGTTTCGTGTCCAAAACTTTGAAGTATGATCATTACTACCAGAACACAGAATGTGTCCTAATGGATGCCACGCTAATGTCCAGACTATACTATCATGAGCTTGTTCTATCGCACCTACTTCTTTATCAGCTCTAAAAATCAATCATGATATAAATAATATGTAAAAAAATTAAATTAGAAGAAATACTGAAAGCATACCCGACGTGCCAAAATAAAATAGCTCCATCACTTCCGCCACTACAAAAGAGACCTTCGTGACTTGGATGCCACGCAACGCTAGAAGCTTCTTTTTTATGACCACGAAATGTTTGAACTTCTTGACTTAAATTTCGAAGATCAAACAATTTGAGCAAATGATCCCGTGACGCAGTTACTAGCCAATTTCCATTTTCGTTCCATTTAACATCCATAACTGTTGATTTATGTGCATGTAAAGTTGCAAGAGATTGTCCAGTTTTTGGATCCCATAATTTAACTGGTTGCTGATTATCTTTGCTCCCAGAGATGACTAGACTTTTTTGCGGATGCCAGTGTACACATTTCACATCAGCTCCATGACCTAAAAAATAATTATGTTAATATCAACATATAATTATCTAATATTATTTTTTATTTATCTATTTAAAATATAAGCAATAAATAAAATATAAACGAAAAGTTTATATTTAATATTACATTAATGAGAGAGAGAACTTTAAAAAAAAATAATGTAATGTATACCCCTGAGAATTCGTTCTTCATGACACCGAAGAAAGTCCCAAATTCTGACAGTTCCATCATCACTGCATGTTGCCAGTTTGTGATCCGTTGGGCTGAAACTACCCACCCAAAAAACAAGAATTATATTTAAACAATACGCTGTTATGTATTTATAAAGCAATTCTTTATTTGCAAATGCTCACAATGAGAATTTTCTCAATGAAACAAGTATTATAGAATGTATAATACATATTTTATTAGACACGCGTATAAAGTCAGATAATAAAATAGTAATGTAACATAATGAAAAATTGATTACACATTGAGATTTATTAATTTTTATTGAAGTTCTATCCTTTTACAAGTGCAATATATTCAAAGCGGAAAAGAAACAGAACATGAGAAATTTATTTATATTTAATAAAACATTTCATAAAACATATAGTACACCTTACGGACATTATTATAATATGATATCAAAATATGAATTAAGAATTGAAGTTAAAAACATACAAGCTTACATTTATTACTGATTTGTCATTTTGCTTGTTAAATATATATATTACACATGCAATATTTATTTATATGTATATGAAACAAGCAAAGAATATTATATCCTTCTTTTTTTTTTACAGTACCATTAGCTAAATAAATTAGGTATTTGCATATCTACATGTGCATTCTTGATAAATCTATCTTAAATATATTATATTTAGCAAATTAAATAAAATTAACTAACAAACTTATAAAGGATTATTTGTTAAATTATTTAAATTAAATGCATAGAAAGCTATTATTATCATTACTAATATTCTTTACTTCTTTACTATATTTTGTGAGTTAAGCATAAATTATATTTGTATGAAAAACGTTTATATAATAATATATAAGAATATATTAAAAAAAGTTCATTTTTAGGTCAATTAAAAAAATGATGTACCAATAATTTAATGTTTTAAAAACGCGCATAATGATTTTTTACTGTAGTTCATTTTGAGGAATAAACAGACATCAGTAATAAAAGGAAGATCTAAGTGTAAATATTGTAAATAAACAAAAAACCATCTTCGACAGTCATATCTGGCACTCAAACAAAATTTATTGCTGATCAAGCAAGAAACTGTTTCATTGTCATGAAAATAGAAGTCTTTTTGATGCCACATGACCACCGAATGATATACCAAGAGTGATATTTTTTCAAAAGTTCAACATTTATTGCACAAAAAAAATGTCCGAAGTGTACATGAAATTTATTATATCTCTCTGTTACTCTCTCTCTCTCTCTCATCTGCAAAAGGGTACAAGTGACACAGACCAAAGAGAAAATATTTTATTTTCAGAAACATATGATATTGCAAATATTTTTATTTTTTATTTAACTTTATTAAAAACTTGGATGTAAAGAAGGACACAGGATATTTATTTTTATTGTAATTCCATGGGAATCTCGACTAGGTATTGCTGTATTTATATTTTTGTTTGTTTATTCGTCATTCTAAATATATACATTTTACCCAATAATCTAACCATATAAATTCATATCTATGAGCCATAAGGACCTAATCTTTTTTTTTTTAATTTATTTTATTTTTTCTCAGATCTTTCAGTATAAAAATAATATATTTTTACTATCATAATCTAGTGGACCATATAGATTCATTTAGGTCCCTAAGACTCTATGAATACAAATGATAAGTTTCATATTAATACACATACAATATATTTGACAGAACACTATCCTTGCTGATCAATTTTGAATATTATGATGTATGTGAATATGAAGATTTTAAAAATTTAGTAATCTCAAAAGATTATGAAATATTTAACTTTATTAAAAAATTTAATTTAAATCAAATAAAAATAACTAGTTACTTGTATAATATCATTCAATATTTGTAGCATTATTATATTGTTTTTTTAATATAGAAAGCTTCATGTTTAATATCATAAAATTACTTAAAAATTAAATGCAATGAAAATCTTAATAAGAAAAATGAGAAAATTGATTTATAATAATAGATCGCTGTATAGTATAGGAAATAGATTTTCATCCTAGATTTTATATCACAGAAATTTTCTAAATCCTGAAAATTTATATTTCCCATACAACTAATACCAGGACAAATACAATCTATGAAAAATTCTAAAAATCACCTGTGTACCCATACAAGAATCAATGTTTTCAAAACAAAAATATTATAAAACCAGAAAAGGAAGAGAATGAGAGTCATGTCCGATATCTCAACTACAGCAAGGATGGACGGATCATCGATAACAGTGGCGCAAGAGACGTAAGGACTAGTGTGGTGGATGGTATACCTGAGTCCTCTAATCGCTTCTTTGTGCGCCTGAAACATCTTGACGTTGTTCATGTTGCTCTGCCAATACTTCACATAGCCTGCATGATCTCCTGTAACCATCCAGCTCTCATTGTGTGACCATACCATTGTTCTCACAGGACTATCATGTGCCTACACAGACAAAAGCAATTGTTTATTAATGTATCTGAAACTAGCATATATTTTGTAAGGCAAATAATATATTAATAATACTCAAACTTTAAATTTTTGCAAATGTTTGAAATTTCTTTTTTACAGGAAGTTTTTTATTGAAATTATAAAAATTAATAATAGATAATAGAATAATAAATTATACAGTAAATTATGCAGAAATTTAATTAATATTAAGTTATAAATAATGTATATAAAATACCTGCAAAATAGTTTCAAAATTAAATGTAAGACCATTCCATAAAGTAAATTCCCCACTAGATGCACCAGTAACAAGACGTCTTCCCTCTGGTGTCCAAGCCATACAAAAGATAGGACATCGCATTTTATTCGTTGCAGTTTTTACAAATCTTGTAGTAACTGCATTTATGGGATTATCAACATAACTAGGTGGTGGAAGTAGATCAGGATAATACATTACATCTGGTTGAAGGGCACGTCTGTCCCTATAATCTCTCTGCCATACTCGATTCTATAAATAAAAAATATAACATTACATTAACATAAACATTATTATTATTTATCAGAATTATATTCAAAATATAGAATTCTATTAAGAATTACCTCTAAGCTCTTTATAATAGCAGAATTGTAGTCTACAGTTTTACGCATAACAGATTTCCGAAGTCTTTTTCCATCAAACTCATCTTGTAATGTATCTTGGCCAGCAGCAACAATTTTTGGTGCATGATAAGGTCTAAACGGTTTAAAAAATCCTCTTGCTCCATCCCTATGATTGGTATATCGATGCTGGTAACTTCCAGATGTGTTTATAGTAGTTAAATTAGGAGGTGGAGCTGATAAATTTGGAGTAGCAGGAGGTGGCACAGACATATTAGGTAAACTTATAGCTGGTGGAGGATTTGCAAATTGAGTATTTGCAGACATAATGAAATAATTTATAGGATAATATAATAACTTTAAATATATAAAAGAAAATGTAATCTAAATGGACAATAAGGGACAAACGATATTTGTTGTTTAATATTAGTTAATGTTGCTATGCTGAATCCATTGCAGTTATTAATTCTGTAAATAAACATAAGTTTTCTATTATTATTTCATAAAGCAATTTTAATAGCATTAATCTTCATTAATGTTACATTTAATAGATTTTTAAATTATATTTATTTAATTCACATATGGTATGTAATACACTGTTGGGTATTTAATAAATGAAAAACACCTACAATTTTGATTTAATTTATATTTGCATAATTTATTAAATTAAAAAAAGAGATTATGTAAATTTTAATAAAATGATATTAATTCTATAGTTTCTTTAACACAAAATATTGTAACGAATAGTAGATCTACGTCACGTTCAAATATAAATGAATAGAAAATTCACTTTCACAATATAAAATATAATATTGAGATTCCTCGATATTTATATTTATTACTACAAATTTTCCTTTGATTGATTTATCATGAAATAATTAAATATATAATAGGTGAAGATAAGACAAAACCTATTTCTATCGAAATTAAAACGTTAATAAAGGTTATATGAATTATTTTCGAAAAAAAGAAATAAATCCAATAAACTGTATTAAAATTCTAACTTTTTCTAATATGAAGTAAAACGTATTTACAGAAGCTGATAAACAACCTGTTTGTTAATTGTGAACAAATTTTCTTTGATGCTGTTACACTGTAAAACGCTTAATATGTTGTGGAGATACTTCCCACGTTTGCCACCAGAGGTCCATTAACTTACTATCTTTCCCACAAGAGGTCATCAAGTTATCCGTTTCTACAAATACAATTTAATTTTTTTATCCTTACAATAACGCCCTCCAATCATTTTACTTTTACTTTTCATATAAAAAAAGATTTTTAAATAATATTAATGAAATATATAGATTGAGATAATCATTATTCAGAAAAAATAAATAACTACTTCTATCATATATAAATTTACTTAACGAAGAAACAGCAAAGGAATTTATGTATCTGCTATATGTATGTCATTATTTTTTTGGATAATATATATTATTCATATATATTTGTATTTCTGACAGAAATTTTAATAAAATTGTTCTAAATTATTGTTCATGTATATTTAGAATAAAATTAAAAATAAATTATATGTAAAAAAGTAATACTAAGTAGTTTAGTTATTATGATCAGAATATTAATACATGTTAAAAATTATCACATATTTTATGAATTTTTCTAAAAAAAACAATGGATATTATGTTACAACAACTAAACGTGAGTTATATTTTTTTGAAATATTTATTTATGACTGTTTATCTCTTTACAATCTAATAAAATTAATTAATAATTAATGTTAATATATTATTGACTTTATATAATGGTTATATGTTTTTTCTTCTCTAACTTATATACACTATATATTATGCACTGTTTGCAAATTGCGTCAAAATAATTGCATCTGTGCATAGTTTCTATATCCTTGTAAGATATTACATAATTTATGTATAACATATACGTCAATTAATTATTGAAACATATGCATATGCATAATATGCAATATATGTGCATAATGTGCAATACATGTGCATAATAAAAAAAGATTTAATTTTTGCCTCACATATAGTTTTAGACAAATAATAATAGCAAATATTTTTTATATGAAAGACAAAAATAATAAAAATTACATATTTGTCTTTCGTATGATTTTTACAAAGTAAAAATTATATAATAGCTTACTTCAGTAAGCTATTTCTTAAATTAAAAATTTGCCAACATAAATGTAACTTAGAATTTTTTATAGGAAATAATGAGTTGTATTGATAATATAATAAATAAAAAATAATATAATAAATTATGTATAAAAATTATAATATTGAATTTTTTTATTTTTATATTTTTCAAAACAAAAACAATTTTAAAAAAAAAATTATCATGTCTATTTAATTCTGCAGATATGCAAAAAAATACATATGCAGAAATTCCTATGTTATTATGGAAAGAAAGCCATTTATTTCAAATTATTATTATATCTGGCACATTTAGAATTATGCAAATTTCTATATTGGAAATAGTGACAAAAATTAGAAAGTGAAAGGAAAAATACCGAATATTGCATTGTTAGAATTTAGAATTAGACTTAACTTGGAAATATGATATTTTGATTTAAATTTGATTTTTCAAATATTCAAGATTCGAATTTGAAAATGATGGATTTATAAATTGTTATTTTTTGATCTTATCCCTAAACTAATCTAATTCTAAAACAATACGATATAATAGGACACCCGTTATTTCTTTTCTCATTTCACTACAGTACGAGTCATGACGCCATGACACTATAAATTATACTAATTTCTAGCATTATTCGCAATGTGGAAATTTATTTGGCTATTGTACATTTAGTGTTTCTTGTATATCAAAATACTAAAAGCATTGTGATAATTATTAATACATATAAATATTTATAATTCATTTAAAATTTATTGAAACAATGATATCTTTCAAAATATTAACAAGTTGATATAAAATATTTATAAAGTTACTATAATTACTATACTAAAAATTTTAGTGAAAAATATAATAATATAAATCATGGATAATTGTACTATAACAAAACTTCCTCATCATATACAACAAAAATTGTGTAATACACGACCTCCTTATAGGCAGGGAAAAAAATTAACATCTGTGAAGGTAGCATTGTGAACTTGTATCCTATTTTTCATAAAATAAGTTTAATAATAAATAATATTTTAAGTTATTTTATATTATTTTTTTAATTAAATCATAAATTAATTATAAAAATTACTAGGTCATTTATATAAATTTCTTTAAAAATTATAATGAATTTAAATTTTCAAATTTACATAATTTTATTTTAAATAGTTAATTTTATAATCTGCTATCATTTTTGTTTTTCTTCAATAATATTTCCTTGACACACTAGCTCTATGTAACAGGTTTATACAATAAATGATGAATCAAAACATTTAATGATATGTGGAGTACCAAAACTCCAATTAGGTGAAGAAATAAAAAAACTTGTTGAATCTTATGGTAATATAAAAAAAATTCACATAGTTCATGATTATCCCACAGAAGAGTTTACAGAAGCATATTATATACAATATGTTCATATACAAAGTGCAAGGTAAATATATTTTTTTATAGTATATATTTTTATAGTATATATTTCTATAGTAATGATATATAATAATATATAATTTAAAGTTTTATAATTTATTATATTTATGTTTCATATTGTACATTTATATAGAATAGCAAAACGATTCATTGATGATAAAAATTTTTATGGAGGTTCATTACATGTTTTTTATGTACCTGAACTTGAAAGTATCTCAGAAACTAAAGAAAAACTTCTTCAACGTCAAAAAGATGTAAATATACGTATTAAAAAAAATCAACAAGATCTAAAGAATCCAAATATCAATAAATTTATTCCTAAGTATGTAAAATATGAAAATAATAGTAAATAAAAAAGTTGAATTATTATATTGAATAATAATTTTCAGAGAACAATATAATAGAAGAAAGAGAACACCTGCTTTACCGCTTACAAAAGAGCGTCTTATTCAACAGTATCCTGGAAAAACTTTATCATCTATTTACGATGGTATACCACAAAATCTAGATCCAAGATTAGTATGTCAATCCAATCTACCATCTACTTCATTTGAATATTCAAATAATGCATCTATATTAAAAGTTCCTTATCATTCAACTGAAGCTATTATTAAGACAAGTGTACCTAAAGAAACTATATTAAAATCAAATTATACTAAAAACAAAAGAAAAAATTATAAAGGACAATATATTAATAATAATGTAAAAGTTAGACTTGTTAAACCACAACTTGTAGATACAAGTACTATAGTAAAGTGGGATATTTCAAATAAAAATATATTTTCTAATCCAAAAAAAATTGATAGTAATATAACTATTAAATTAATACCAAAAAATGATGTTGAGAAAAAAAGGATTATAATAAAAGATCCAAGGTAAATTATATATTATATTTTATATCATATATACTTTTATAATATGTTATAATTATTGTAGTGTATCCCAGTTGGTACAACCAAGTGAAAATCTGCAATTGTCAATTAAAGAAGCTAAATCGCAAATACGAGCGGCCATGCAAATGAATAATAAGGAAAATCCATGATTTTTTATTACATTAAAATATGTAATAGAGAAAAAAATTCTTTTTTAAGAAAATTATTTATTTTATATTAAATAAATACATTATTGCAATTAATTTTTTACATTTATGTTTACAATTAATTTTTACAATTATTTAAATTTTTATATAAAAATAATTCTATAAAAGATATAAACTATGTCTAAACTTTTCTTATAAAAATTAATAATCTTAAATAATAACAGTTGAATCTGGATCCCATTGTACACCATTTAATTTAGATTTTACAAAATATTTTTTATGCGGTGATGTATTTTCTTTTAATATTTTTGAGACAACATTTCTATTCTTAAACACCTGTTGTGGTGACTTTGTTAACAGTGTTTGTATTTGTTCATTATTTGAACGATTTCCAAGAGGAGTTCGAATCTGAAAATAAAAATATGCATATAATATCTTTATTTCTTTAAAAATAATTTTATAACTATTACTATTTATGAAATACCTTTATGGATTCATTTTCATTTTTATCAATAAAAGATTTTTTTTCATCTGTTGTAACTTTAATTTCTGATTTGACAATTTTTTTCTTTTTTTTAATTGTGTCTACTTTTGTCTTTTCATTTTCAGAATTAATTAATTTTGGAATTAAGTCTTTGGTATTATCATTGTCAAATGTTATAATTACTTCTTCCTTATTTATTTGTGACATTTTTTCTGTAACTTCTTGTACATTATCTGATTCATTTAATTCTGATTCCTCGAATGTATCCAATATTAATGAATCCCTCCATATTTTAATTATATCATTATTAATAATACATTTTTGTTCTGCATTCTTTTTAATATTATTATCATTACAATTATTTTGTTCTAAAATGCTTTGAACTTCACTTTGATCTTCTAATTCTTTTTCTACTAATATAAATATTTTTTGATCAGATATAATAAATTTTTTGAAACATATTTTTATATATTATAATACAAATTAACTTTAAATTATTAATACTAATTTCTTACCAATTTCTGAAATAAAATTAGTTTTAACTGAATCATTTGAATATGATGATTCAGGTTCATTTAATTTGTCATCAGAATCAGTAATAACTGAATGTAAAGAATTTACTGCAGATGTGTCTAAATCCGCTAAAACTTGTACTTCAGTAACATTAAATTGTGATGACATTTCACAATATGAAAATTTTGGATAAAAAATATCTGTATCATAACTGCCTTGTCTATGCAAACATTCTTGAGATCTTGCTCTTAAACGTTCAATAGATTTTGGCATTAAAATTGGAGTTCTATCAAAATCTGCTGCTGGAGATCTAGGATCAAGTCCTAGAATATTATAACGTTCCTTTTCTATATCAGTGATTATTTTTTTATTATTTAAATTATTACTTATTGGTGTTAAAAGATTTTCTTCATTTTTATTTTGCTAAAATATTTAAAATAAATAAATTTTATAAATTATTTATAACAATAAAAATAATAATATATATAACAACAAAAATAAAATATTTCATTTTTTTAAAAAAGAGAAAATGTTGAGATATACTTTTGGAATTTCTATTAATTTTGGCATCAAATGTTTTTTAGGAGTTAAACATAACATTATTTTATCTATATCTGTTTCCAAGTATGATTTATTTTGTAAATGTTTTGGAATTGCTGATATTATTTTTTTATTTAATCCAACAGGTGTATTATTCACCTATTAATGTTAATATTATTTATTATTTATATATATTAATAATATTACATAAATTAATAATTTATAAAATTTATATCAATTTATGTTATAATTACCTCAATTGGTGTTCTACTTATTCCACTCGTTACAGATCTAGGATCCGTAACTAATGTTTTACGAATTATTGGTGGAGTTTGCATATTTTTTTCAATAGTTACTTCATCTATCGCTGATGAATCTTTTATTTCTTCTTTTTCAATCTCATTGTTATACGTTTCAGTTTTATGAGTAAAAAATTTATTAACATAATTTCCCATTATCGTGATTGTTTTTCTTATATTTTTTCACTTTGATTTTCAATGAATAAATTCAAAATAAAATTCGATTATATTTTCAATTACATTACCAACATCACTTCTTTGAATATATAACGGATCAGTAATATATTATAGTCAACATTTTACAAATATTTATTTAATATTCAATATATATATTTGTTATGTTTAATATTATATGATACTTAATAATTGAAATGAATTTACCTTAAATTAAACTTTGAAATGTTTTATATAAAATATAGTAAAATTTTTAACATCAGCAAACAATAAATTCAAACTCAAATATTATAATTCACCTTTAAAAATTAATCAAAAGATACAATCTTACCAACATAAGGCTTTAAATAAGTAATACCAATACAAAAACTTTGTTTCATATTTATATACATTTAACATGTATTTCAAAGTAAAAAGGAAAGTAATGCTTTGAATTTCTTTTTAAAAAAATTTGAAATAACGCGAATATGAAGTTAATTAATGAAAGATGTTTTAAATATAAAATTTTCTACAATTATTAAAAACGATGTAACTGCATCCTATAACTATTAAATTGAAGTGTATGTATAATTCCATGGAATTCGTTTTATTTACTTAATTATAATTTAAATACTTTATTATATAAAATTATTAATTGAAAATCATATATAACGAAAAAATAATAACTAGAAAAATAATAAACTAATGATATCAAATTTTTTTAGGTTATCGTTTTAATAAGATAGATGTTTAAAAATTAAAATTTTAATATCATTTTGATTGTTATATTTGAAAAATAAAAACTTTTTCTATAAAAGTATTTTCTATAAGAGTATAAAAGCATGTCATTTATTTTAAATTCAGAAGAAAATTATAAAAATGATATGGTTCAAATGCAATCCATCAATCTTGTATGTCCAGTATGTGATGTTAGATATATAAACAAAAAAGAATTCTACAGTCATTTACATATTCATACTGGAGATGTATTATTGAAACATATGCAATATTTTAAAAAAGATACAAACAATGGATTAGAAACAGTGCCAAAATATTCTTTACTAAAAAAAATTGATAATGATTTTTATGAAACTATATTAAGACCTTTTAAATGCCAACAATGCAGTTTAACTTTTGACAGAGCTTCTCAATATGATTACCATCATCGAAGTATACATTTAGGAGAAAAATCTCAACTTTGTGAAATCTGTGGCAAAGGTTTTTTTCGCAAAGCAGACTTAAGAACCCATTTGAATATTCACTTAGGCACAAATATTTGCATTTGTGAAGTTTGTGGAAGAAAATTTAATCACATATCTAATTTAATTAGACATTGCAGAATGCATGCTGGTAATTGCAATCAAAATTTTTTATAAAATAAAAAATAAATGAAAAAAATTTTAATTTGAAAATAAATTTCTAGGAATAAAATTATATCCATGTTCCATTTGTGGTAAACGTTTTACTCAGATTAGTTCCCTTGCAAGACACAAACGTATTCATGAAAGGATAAAAGATGATGTTAAATTTCATTTACAAAATAATTTCAACAATAGTAATTTACAGAAAAAAGATCATGCAATATATAAGAATAAGGTGATGAACAAATGTGATATTACATAATATCCTTTGAATCTAAGTATATCTTACTGTCAATGTACAGTTTGTTGAAGGTAATGCACCTAGTCAGCAAAAGGTTGTCAAGAGACAACATTATTGTAAAATTTGTGGTGAAAGTTTCAATTTTATCTTTCTCTTAAGAGAACATGAGAAATCCCATTCAGAAACTTTGGAATATAAGAATGATAAAATGGTAAGAATTTTGAAAATAAAAAATATTTAAGAATTATGTGTTTTTGATTTATTTTTTTTCTTTCATTTAGAGTTTTCAGAAAACTACAGAACTTAAAAAACAAACAGAGCATAATGAGAATTTTGATTTTTTTGAAAATGAAATAAATATAAAAAAAGCCTTACCATTAGAAACAATTATTTATATCACATCAGAACAGGTAAATATTTTAATATTTATAACCAATATAATTTTAAAATATTTTTATATATATTTAATTTTTTATATGAAAAAAGTTGAAGAAAATTAATTTAGAAAATGTTGAAGACAATAAAAATCAAGCTTCACAAGAAAATTTATGTGAAACAAAGATTTCAGCAGATGAAGAATTAAATATCTCTGAGAAAGTAACATTTAAGAATGAACAAACTCAATTTGTTCAAGATACTCCACTTTTGTCATATAAATCTAATTGCATAGAAAAAGAAAATGTAACATATGTTTGTCAAGTAGACGAAAATATTCTTAAAAGTAAATTATGTATACAAACGTGCGAATTAGATTTACAAAAATCCGAAACGAATTATAATACTTTAATAAATACTTCTGTAAATGTTACTGATATGTTTCAAAAGATAGATCTCTCAGAATCTAATAACAATGAACATATTAATTCTGATTCAAATATAAATAAAAATCGGGAAATAAATTTAATACAAAACGGAAAAATATCTGATGATTTAAATGACATAAATAATATTGTAAATCATGATGAACCAATGTTGCGATTAGTACAGACAGAAACAGGAGAACAATTTTACGAATTTTTAATTAACAATTTAGTTGAAAAATTACCAAATACACAATCTGCAAAAAATCATGAGAATAAAGATGATCCTGATACAAATATAAATGAAGAAAATCATCAAGAGCAAAGTATACGAGATGATTTACATAATGACTTAAATTATGTGCAATATGAATTACAAGAGGAAGAAAAAAATTTTGTTACAAATCAAATTTTATTAGACACACAAAATGATTTTGATAAATATGTTGAAACAAATTTCGAAGTATTTGAAAGATTAAATTACGATGACAGTTCCGAACGATTTCTTGAATTTGTTGAAACAGGACTTGAGAATCAAAACTCAAAAATTTCAGAATGTAATAAAGAAAGTGAAGAATTCTTACAGTTTCAAAATTTCAACCAAGTTAATGCTATACAATCAAACGAAAAAAATATTATTAGTAATAATAACAGTAATAATACAATTATTAAAACCAATGGAAAACAAGAAAAAAATGAAAATGACATTAGTATTAATGAAAAATTAAAAAATGAACAAGATTCAAAGAAAACAAAAACTTTTTTAATAAAATTTCAATGTACAGTATGTGAAAAATCTTTTTCAACTAGTTACAATTATAAGCAACATATAGGTACTCATTTTGCAGACCAACAAAAATTTCATTGTAAAGATTGCAAAATATCTTTTGCTTGGAAATCAACATTAAATAAACATATTGCAAATAATCATAGACCAGATGGTCCACAGAAATTTGCATGTGATATATGTAATAAAATTTATAACACTTCTTCGCAAGTAAATGTGAGTATATTTGAAAATATTTTTTTAATATATTAAGT